AATGGTGATAACAGCTGATTAAATCCTATAAGGAGAGAGAGAGAGAGCTTGAAGAGATGGTGATCAAATTCATAGCGTCGGCTCGAGCAGTAGTGCGACCTCGCTTCTAGAAAGAGAAGAGAGCAGGAAGGGAACATAGGAAATAGGAAATGAATGCATCTGATCGAATCTGATAAGAAGTCATAGACGGTGACAGAAAGCCCAAGTCATATTGCCCAAATTTTAATGAGGAATTTTGGACCAATCCAGGGGGAAGCTAAGGTGGTTCCGTAATTACTAAGATCCACTGAAGGCTCGTTAGCAAACTTGTGTAAACAAATAGAGGGTACCTTGATGATGCGATTAATAAACTCTGGTTCCGCCGATTTTCCACTGAGCTTCGATAAATGATCCCAACCAGTGCTCACCCATGTGTAGAGAATGTACACTGATACCTAGAACAGAATTGAAGCCAATCGATTCAAGGTAAATACAGTACCTTCAAACTCAAGATATTTTTCACATTCACAACTATAAGTAAAAACTAACGATAAGAGTAATGAGCTCTAGCAATCAGGGTCGTAGAAAAATAGCCAGAAACACTCACATGTTACCAAGCCAGGCACAAGCAAGAGCCACCGTATTCGACAAACAATCATTCCTATGATCCATGGCTAGCACAGCTATCGACGGATCCGACTTATATCTTGAACATTAATAAAAATATTTGTAATTCTAAACATAACAGGCCTAAACTACAGTAAATACTCAGAGAATATTAGTTCTCATAACTCATTACCAAACAAATAAGTCAGGTTTTGAAAACATTGTAGGCAGAATTTCATGTTAGGTAATAAGTGTGAAAATAATAAAAAAAAATGTAGGCGCAGTTTGGCGACAGGGGGTGGGGGGAATTTTTTACTATCTCTGCTTCACTAGTTTTGGTGAAACCTGTGGCGGTAACTGCATGTAAGGCTGGCGGCAAGCTCGTCGAACCACAGAGTCAATGGTATTTCCATGGTATTTCATTAATTTGCAAAACCTGACAGGTAAAAGTGCAAAATGCCTCCCTCCTTCTTCGTCGCCGAACTACGCCAAAAATGTGATTGTAATTACTCACTTTTGGCAGATGCAAAACAATGAAAACTTCACAATCACCGTACAAACCATAATTGTTGCAGAAGTGACTGTCACGTCTAGCGTGGGTTCCTCACCAATACCTAAAGGCTAAATATTTGAAAACAATTAGAGCATGTCAAAAGCATCTCTATCTTGCCTGATTCGCCTGATTCATCACGTAGCAAGGCCCCCCCCCCCCCCCCCCCCCCCCCCCCCCCCCCCCCCCCCCCCCCCCCCCCCCCCCCCCCCCCCCCCCCCCCCCCCCCCCCCCCCCCCCCCCCCCCCCCCCCCCCCCCCCCCCCCCCCCCCCCCCCCCCCCCCCCCCCCCCCCCCCCCCCCCCCCCCCCCCCCCCCCCCCCCCCCCCCCCCCCCCCCCCCCCCCAAATTTATCAGACCAACTCTATCAGGCTTATTAATTTAACGTTCCCCGCTGCTTTTCATGGTATTGGTCGAGAACAGAGACCGTATGACCAAAAACAGACATAAGTGTCCACCATTTCTTTGTCTACATAGAATCCGATACTCCATTCGAAAGGGTAGGGCGAATTTAAGAGACGTCGCGCCAATCGCCGCGCGCGACGAAGCGGCAGTTTACGATTCTCCTGCCCGCCTCCACCTTTGATGACAAGAGGTCATGCAATACGACCGGCGATCTCTCAGGCGCGGTGCAACTGAAGGACATCACCAACTTTTGTGTGGTCCCTGTAAAAGGTTTACAGAAAACCACCAAGGAAAATTTAGAACAGTTAGAACGGGTAGCACCTCTACGGACAAAAACTCTAATCGTATATTCACCAGCCGATAATAATCCGCTGCCGTCCATCAGAAAAGGGTCACACCAGGTAAAACTATAGCAGTTATCGATTGATGAATTGTCAGAAGCTATGTTTCCGTTCCTGTTACGTGCACAAATGTCAGTTCATATCAGTGAGTAGCAGAAAGTCGAGAGCAGCCCTCCATTCTTTTGACAGAAGCTACTTTCCTTTGACAAAAAGATTTTTGGGTGAGAACCCATCTGCGAAGCCGCCAAAACAATACGAATCCGGAAACGAAAGTCTTTCGGTCCTGGGTAGTATGGTTTCCAAGGGTCCTGTAAACTTTAAGCGAAATTGACGGAATGGCACCACCAGGAGTGGAGCCTGCGGCTTAATTTGACTCAACACGGGAAAACTCACCCGGCCCGGACACCGTAAGGATTGACAGATTGAAAGCTCTTTCTCGATTTGGTGGTTGGTGGTGCATGGCCGTTCTTAGTTGGTGGAGCGATTTGTCTGGTTTATTACTAAAACGAGCAAATCCCTAGAATGCTAATGAGTGGCTGGATTTTTACGTCCAGTCTACTTCTTAGAGGGATAAGCGGTGTTTAGCCGCACGAGATTGAGCGATCTGTGATGCCCTTAGATGACTGGGCAGTTTAAAAAAGTGGGCGGAGTTTCCCACAAGCGGACCTAATGACACACTTCGCTTAGGCTTAGGCTTAAATTTGCCTAGGCTTAGGCTTAGCTCAAAGGGGCGGAGTTTTCCAACCAATGTTCTGAAAAATCCGGGATTCCGCAATGGGCGGAGCTTTCACCGAGGGGGCGGAGTTTCCCACGGTGGGCGGGGTTTGACCTTGAGGGGCGGGATTGGAGAGAGTCAGAGTCACGAATATTGCGAAATTTCTCAAAAAATCGAACTTTTCAAAAAATCCGGATTTTCGGAGTGGGCGGAGCCTCTCACAGGGGGCGGGCCTGTATCGGGGCCTATTGTGTCCGCCGTCGAACGGACCTTGGAAGGCCACTTGGACTGAAATTCCTCAGCTCGACCCGGCTAACGACACACTTTGACGAGTTTTCCAGCTCTTCGGGGCAGTGGACGAGTTTGTCCGTCTACGTGGACGAGATTCCCCGTACCTAAAGACCCGTTTCCGCGAAAAAACCGGCAGTGGACGAGTTGTCCGCCTTTCGGACGAGTTTTCCGTCTCTTGGGGCAGTGGACGAGTTATCCGTCTACGTGGACGAGATTCCCCGTACCTTCAAAAGCGAAAAAGGCGAAAAAATCGCGAAAAAACGAGAGAAAAATCACGAAAAAAACCGGCATGGAGTCCCCTTAGGGACGAGTTTTTTGCTCAAAAGGGCATTATGATGCCCTTTTCGAGCAAAAAAAACAATCTTGGCCGGAAAGCAAAAGGGACTTTGCTCAGTTTTTCTTGCAGCCGCATAGCCGGAAAACTCGTCCACTGCCCCGAAGAGCCGGAAAACTCGTCCAAAGTGTGTCGTTAGGTCCGATTGAGGAACTTTAGTGCCAAGTGGCTCCCAAGGTCCGTTGAAGGACAGAATAGCTCCAGATACAGGCCCCGCCCCCTATGAGAGGCTCCGCCCACTCCGAAATCCGGATTTTTTGAAAAGTTCGATTTTTGCTTTTGATTTCTGCTCGAAAATATGAGAGTTCTACCTTGCCTGGGAAATTGTCACGCCGGAGCAATCTATATAACCGCCAAAGCTAAGCTCATGGCTACCAAGTAACAAGCAACGTTGGTTTTCGTCAATACTAGAGAGCATGAACACCATAAAGTCATTTTAAACCAAGAGAGAGAAGAGACAAACCCATGCAAAACTATTTTCACACTCACACTAATACTCATACTTCCTTAAATTCAATTATTGTTCTTCGTTTAGAAAGTTACAATGCAACTCAATACATGGGCGCATGTGATTTTGAGGAGCATGTGGGCTGGAAACTCGCTCCTCGGTGAACTCAAAGAAAATCCCAGCTCTTTAGAACCGGTATCAGTCATCAAGATAATAATACTCACCATACGCATTGAACTTATACGCAGCCGCTATACGACTTATCGCACCAAATATTAGCTGAACACTAGCGACACCCATCACAACGCTTATGATAATCTGAAAAAAGTCATTTCAAAACAAATAAAATTGTAGGTCAATCGAACTCTATCCTAACCCCGATATACAGGGGGTCGAAAAAGATACCTTTTTCTCGACTTTCGGCGATATAAGTTACACTTTATTTAATTCCGATAGGACATTTTCACCACCAATTCAACAACACATTGTACACTATCATGATACTCCACCACAGCCTTCTGGACGAGCGCCATCGAGAGATTCTGCCACGCGACCGTGATTCCGTGTGCCTGAGTTCAGCGAGGTCGTTGATTTCTCCGCCACTGTAGACCACCCTGTTGAGCTCCTCCCGAACCCGGTAATCGAGGGGGTTTAGGTCAGGTGACACACTTGGATATTCAGGTACTCAACGCCCTTCCATTCCAAGTAGGCGAGAGTTTTTCCAACGCCCTTCGATTCCATGTGGTGGCACCCATCCTGTAGCAGTACGAAGTTTCCAAGAAGGTACAGGCGATGACATGAAGGCAGATATTCTCCACGAGTTGGTCGATGTAACCGTCAGCGTTCACTTTCAGTCCGGGGTCCACGAAGAAATATCGGTCTTCCCATTCCAGGAACTTCCGGTCCATACCATCAACCCGCGCCTTGGCGACTGCGGTGAAGATGATATCCTGGACCGTAGCGACGTTGTCGGAGCTGCTCGATGTTGGAGGTCTTCCAGATCGAGAGTACTGGTCTCCAGGTAGCTATCCATGGGTGACTCCATACTAGAAGTTTCGCAGCTGTTTGGAGGTGACATGAATTCCAAAGGTCTTCTCCAGTCAGGCTGCGACTGGAGATGACTTCATATTTTGGTGTACATGAAGGTGATGGGCGAGAGCCAGCTCCTGCTTATCGAGGAACATCTTGGGTATCTTCCGCCTGGTACTCGTATCCACGTCCTGTCTGCTGCGAAAACTTTGCTGATATGTGACTCGGCCGAAGTGCCTTTGTTTTTTGCCCCCCCCCCCTCCTGTATATCCTAGCAATATGAACCCAAAACACAATTTGCTCAAAATGTTAATGTTGTTCCATATATTGAAAATTTCTATTCTGTCAACTTTGAAGACAAATGGTTCACTCCCGTCGACCATAGTCCTTGCCATGTTAAGGCGAATGGGTCCGCAGCAGCAGTAGCGTGCCGTCTTCGCCGCTCAACGGTGCACCAGAACAGGGCTGGAGTGCAGCGATACCAGCGTGCCGTTTCCGGATCCCTAGACCACTGTCGCACGGCTAGGTACACGCCTGACCGTAGCCAAACGGCTTCTTGTGGTCCTCTCCTTCTAGTTGTTGTCGACCAGTGAGTGATGGTTTCGCTGCGGGATCTTGATATAGACAAAAGTGCTGCATACTTAGCTTCGCGCGGGCAGAGTGTGAAGACTGCACCTGAGTACTACTACCTTCTAGTCTCCTTCTGTGCACTTTTGAGCAGGGAAAGTGGCACGCTACTGCAGCTGCAGACCCACTGACTTCAAACATGGAAAGGATCGCTCTCGGAGATGGGTGCTCAGTTTATTTTCGAATTACAGCATGTCCGTTGGCAGATTCTACAAACAGAACCGTAGGTCGTGCGCTGGCGATACGGTAATCAGCTCAAAAACGCTCAAGGCTCTCACGATCGCCTGACGAGATAAGCACTAACGCGCTAGTCCGATCGCTTCGTAGCGTGCCATGCCACTACAACGTCAGCTATTCAACGACTAGACAGCACAGCAGCGTCTCTGTGTCAGTCTAGTTTGGTGTCAGTGAGCCCAAAACCAAGGCTCGGGCTTAGTGGATTCCATATCTTTTC